CTGGAAGAAGGAAAGGATGAGACAATCATTAGGAATCGGAGGCTGATCTGCACAAGGAGAAGAATGAAAATGTGGCCGTATTGGGGAGCAAGCAGTTATTTCGCTTATGAGTATTTAATGTAAGTATAGTTTTAGATCATATTTAGATAGGGCAAAGTCATTAACATTAATAATAAATCAATATTGAGCTATAAACTAGATACGCACCCTACATTCATACGCAAGGCTCGCTCCCCAAAGCCATACTACTTTCCCAGGGAAAAATAAAGGAGTAGCTTTACAGTTAAATTAGCATTTGTAATCAAGGGGGTAGGTTGTCTCCTCGATTTCCTGTTTCAAGGAAAATGAGGAAGGAACCCCGTGCTGAGAGGAGACCTTTTTGCGACCGGGATTGCCCTGGATTCTAAGCCCTAAACCGTCTCTAGCCTTCGGGAAAGTTTCGGGGCTGCACCAAGGTCGAGACTCTAGTCTTCTGGCCATCCTCCCTCCCCACCTCCCTTCCCAATTCTCTGTTCTTCGGGGTGAAAGCTCATGGCCAAGGGAGAAGGGGGTTAAAGGGGAATTCAGGGAGCTCTTCAGAGACACAACCACCAAGCACAGGGGTAGGAGAAAATTAGCGGTTTTCAAATATCCAGAGAGACCAAGGAGTGTCTCCTTCTTTTCCAGACACAAAAAAATGAAGCAAGTTGGTTCATTTTCCCTCCAAATAGAAGTCTAAGACCAGGTATTGCCTTCTGCCAATGTCAAACATCCAATATCCGTGAAAATAGGAAACGCTTTTCTTTAGATTAAAGGAGATCTTGCTTTTTATCCTCTTCTCCCGCCCCTCGACCTCGCTTCCCTGATCCTGTAGGTCACTCGAATTTCTACACCTAGTGCTTGACTTCGAAAGAAGCAATAATTCGTTAACTAACTAGGCTGTAGGATTTAGAAATCCAGACCCTTTCTTTCTCCCAGGCGTCAAGCCAACGCAACTAAGCTCTTCTGGAATGGAAATTGGGACAGACTGCCCTGAACAGTAGCTGCCTCTCTGGCCTCCGTCACCCAGCCCAAGGCCAAGGGGCTGCTGGCCATCCAGATGGGTTGGCGGAGCCTCCGGTGTCTCTAACTTAATTCAACTACCTGACTTGGACGCCGATGCCCTACTCTCAGTACACTTCTCGAGTACCCTAGAACCATCCAGGGGTCAGAGAGCGAGCCCTGGGACACTGGGAGTCAAGCTCCAGTCCATTGGAAACTAGGGGGGGGTGGGGTTGTGCAATTGGAGACCTGTGGTCAAGAAAGACAGAAAGGATCCCCACGAATGAGGTTTTCCAGTCACCTCTCGGGCAGTTCTCTCAACAAATCCAGGGCCGGTCAGCCAGACAGACAGAACCCCGAGGTTTCTCGAGCAACAAGCCAACGTCTCGTATTTGCCCTCCTGTATCAAATTCGAAAGCTTCAGTTTCCGCCACCCTCTCTCCCTCTGCTCTCAAGTGGGGCAGCCCTGACCGGCAACGAGAGTTCTGAGGGACAAGTTGCCAGTGGCGAGAGACGAAAGATATTTTAAGAAGAGACCCACAGAACCCCAATGGAGTAGCTTGGGTCACCTCCACGCCGCTCCCCCTCCCAACCAAGCTGTCTACTTCCTTAAGCCAGGGTTAGAGAAAGGGCGTCCCCATTCCTCGCGCCTTTGACCAAGGGCCAGGAAGGATATGGATGGAGGAGGGACTGGCAATAGGGGGAATCACCCTAATGAACAGGGACGGCGGAATGGTATTTATTACGGGAGATACTCTCTGCGTTAACAATGAACTTCGAGGAGGGGAGAAAACTCTCCAGTCAATTCAGTTAAACTGATAAAATCCCAGTGGTCCTTTAGACACTTTGCCTGGATTAGCTCCCGGTAGATGGGAGCCCAGGAGACCAACACCTCCCCTAACACTAAGATAATTTTCTCCCCTATCCCCAAAGGGCAAGGAGTGAGGCCGGGTTCTATGGAAGGGAGGGGAAGAGGAAAAAGCGCTTGGGAAACCGATTGACTTTCCCCAAGGCCGCCCAGAGGACTCGGAAATTTCACGGAAATCTTTTGGCAAATATGAGATATTTTTGTTTCCAAAACTCTCCCTAGAATTATATAGAATACACGTTTTCTTAACCAGCTTCTACACGTTTTGTTCCTCCTTTTCAGTTTTATTCATTTCAAATAGCCAACCTACCAGCTTACTATCATTACAAGGTTTCAAGTTGTTTTTGTTTTTTACTCTCACACCACAAATAAATTTCCCAAATCTAAGGTTTCCTATATTTTTAATAAAATTGAATCTTATCCCATTTGATGGCATCATGTCAATTCAGAACAAAAGCTCGATAATCTCTAGAAGCTTGAAGAAAATAAAAGATGGTGGGCTTTTATTTTCATCTCCATTTTCCTCGAAATATTAAAACAATATTTCCATCTACTTAAGGAATTTTAAATACGGCATCTCCCTTTTAAAATGTGCACCTATTGGCCTTTAAGATCTCTCCTGTGATCCGCCGGGTTATAAGAAAAATAATTCCTTTTAAACGCCTCATTTCTCTGAAACCGTTAGACATTTGTTTCAAAAACCTTGTCTCTCCTCTTACTCTCTTTCTCTTCACTCCCTTAATAAAAATCCCTGCACCTCCTTACTACAGATAAAGCCGATTTTTAGAAGAATACTCCTATTGTGGCGCCTCTATCAATGAAATTCATATTACAGTATTTGGAAGAAAACGTACTGCACCAATCGAACCAAAGTGAGGTTTGTAGAACATGAGCGCGCCCTCGCGTGGCTCTCTCTCACAATGCAACCTGGAATTGGTTTCCCTCAAGATTTTTCTTTCTAGGGGCAAACTTGCTACATTTAAACCCTGGGGTGGGGGAAAAAAAACTCAGAAATAAGCCATTGACTGGTTTGATATTTTGGAGTGATTGTATGAGGGCACTGGGATTTTAGTGGCCTTCCAATGTCAGGAACAAAGCCAAACCTTCAAAAAGCTAATAATTCGATCGTGTGCTTTCCCCTCTAATTGACTCTTCTCTCCCCACCCCCCCCCGCCCCAACCAGGGCTGAGAGGTTTTCAAAAATGCATATAGAAATTCTATTAAATCCTGCGGTTTAATATTATTGAAGGTGCAATAATTTATTTGACAGGGCGACAAATTGGTTTAAAATATAATGAAAGACTAACTGTCTGGAAATAACTTTCCCCTTTCAAATGGCTCCCTTTTTTTCCCCCAAGTACAGTCTATCATTGGAGGAAAGGTGATAGCAATCTAAGCCCCCCAAAATGGTGTTTCATAACTGTTCTGGAGACATTGTTCTGAGACATTGTGATCGAATAGAGCTTTGCAAAGAACTCTGTTGCCATTAAGCTTACAGAAATATTTGGAAGGAAATTAAGAGTATTGATCCTGAAATTAGGAATTTGCTCAGAGATTTATGGCAATTCCCCTGATATGATTCTCTGCAAAGTCATAAATGCGCGTGTGTGGGTGTATGTGTGTGATAGTGGGTGGTGGTTGAAAAAAACAGAAGAACCTTAGGGCGCCTAATTATTCAGAAAGGTTAAAGGTGATGACCTTGACATTTTGGAAGTTCAAAGGCATACACTTATGTTTTTGCTTCTCGAAAAAGACTTCGCCATTTTAATTTTATTTTTCCTTTAGAGATAGCATTCTCGGCTATCTTTTAGTAGGTTTTACTGCTGTTGTGGATTCATTTTTCGACTTTGGGCTTATAAGAAGCCAGAGTCATAAGATCTACTTTGTCTTAAAAAAACAACCCTTTCTCACTCCACTTTATTGCACATTGCGGAAATCTTTTTTTTCGCCCACCAGAAGGTGTATAATATAACCCAATTAAGCTGTTTAGAACTTTGGTTTTTATGGTGTTGTCTAGACAGTTCAAGGTTTTGTAAACAGCTTAGCCAGGTCATGCAACATAAAGTGCAGAGAAGACCTCAGTTACATTCTTTCACTTTACGAAATAAAGGCAAGGAGATCTTTAGCACTGGGTTCTGAGCAGGGGATTACCTTTGTCTACTTACTTTATCCTGACTGGGAAATAAGCAACACTACTCTACAAACAGGGGACACTGGTATCTCTTGAACTTTTTAGGGTGGTGATCTTAATTTTTTAAGGGATTCTGTCTCTCTCTTTCATTGTACAAAGGATCAAGAGTGAATTTGCATTTTCCTTATATCTACTAAAAATGGTGGTGAGGGGGAGTTCCTGTTTTCAGAAATTCCAAATTTTCAAGCTGGAGGAACGAATTATTAGTCCTTTAGAAATCCCTGCCGCCTCTGTCCCATCAGCTCTGATAGAAGGCAGGAGAGCCATTTTTTGGTGTCTCACACTGAAGGGATTAACTGAAAGTTACATTGAAAAGGAGCCATCTGGGGATAGAAATCAACCCTGATTTTAACTCTGCTGCAAATGTTCTTCCATTTTGGCTGGGGGATGGGGGTAAGGGGTTCCTGCCAGTTCTCTTTGCTCCCTCAAATGTCCTGTTCAGACGCTAAAGTTCTTCAAAGAGGAAAATCCATACAGTGCATTGAGGATGGAACCTTCGTTTTACTAGAAACCATTTATTCACATGAAAAAGACAGTGGCCCATGCGTTTATATGACAGTGGAAACTTAGAGACCGAACATTTCCCAGAGTTTAAATAATCGCCATTCTTTTTAGTGAAAGGAAACAGTTGACTCTAAGCTCAGAACAAAACACCTTAAGCAACAGGGCCAAACGCACTACAGGTCCATCTGCATCACCACGAAGACTTAGGGTGGGGGGGAGGAGAGGGGAGACAAAAAAAAAACACTTTGGTGGTAAAATTGTAAACGGATGTTTGGATTTACCATTTTCCCCTCATTAGGCATCCGATCCGCCAAGACACCGGCATCTTCTGCAGGCATTGATCTCTGGGAAGTAACCGAGTTGACCGAGTTGAATGTGAAAATGAAGCTTGGAGTTCCGAAGGGAAGATGACTCATGTAAACCCAATGACTTTTTGCCTCCGGCGGGCAGGCAGAGTGAGGGGAGGAGTGTGAGTGTGAGTGAGAGTTGCGGGAGGGGGAGGGGGAGAGATTTCTTGATCTTTCAGAATAAGGGGTTCCCAGTGAAATATTGGAGTCGATCTCTGTTCAGTTTCTTTTCTTTCATCCTGCGATTCTGGAACCAGATTTTGACTTGTCGGTCAGTGAGATTGAGCATTCGAGACAGTTGGAGTCTTTTCTCTTTGTTTATATACACGTTGAAGAAAAATTCCCGTTCCAGTTCTCGGATCTGGTATTTGGTGTAGGGACACCTCTTTTTCCTCGATCGCTGTGGGACCACTGAAAGGAAGGGGGGAAAAAAACTAGAGGACTAGATTGAGACCACCCAGCGCTCTCTTTCGCTACCCAGACCCAGACCACAACTTCGAGCTCTCTTGTACTTGGCCAACTGTGTACTGGCCTCTGGTCAGTTCCTCTACTAGGGAAAAGGGACCAGGGCAGGACACCGGACTCCCCTTCTATAGCTAGTGACATCCCCTCATTCTTCTGAAAAGACCCTGTGTCTCTATAGAAATGATATATTGGGCCAGGAGAAATTAGAGTGCAGGCTTGTATAGATCTAATAGGTGTGTGCGTGGATATAGACACACATGCATATGGAGGGACATATATTTACATATGTATATGTGTACACATATGTGCATGTGCAGAAAGAGCTGTTTAGATCTCTCTGTGCCTTTCCTCCAGTTACTTGGATAAGGTCCAGTTTAATGACCAACCTCCCCCATCCCTCCCCCACTTAAAAGAAACCAAGACGGAGCGAAGATGCCATTAGTGGCTCTGCTAGCAACTGTTGCAAGAAATCTTTTCTTTCTCTCTTCGTCGTCCCCCGTCCCCCCCAACAAAATCTTCTTTGCAACAATTAATATCTCCCTCGAAGAATACCTTAAGCCCACCTAAATTGGTTTCCTATCGTAAACACGCTTTACAACGGGTAGAGAAATCTTATAGGATATATAAACTCCTTCGAATGCTTATAAAATGGCACATAAAACCCCGGCTGCTAAAGGGTGGGCCCGGGCTCGGCTGCACCCCCACCCCCACCCCCACCCCCACCTCCTTCCCTACCTCCTCCTTCCCCCCCAATATAGGTCCCTACCTGCGCCTCCGCTCTTCTCCGCCCCCGCCTCCCCTGGGGGGGGCCTCGCCGCTGGAGCCGCTCTCCGCTGCCCCCTTGGGCTCCGGCCCCGAGGGGGCTTTGCCACAGGGACTCGCGCTGGCCGGAGACTTCAAGCCGCTCTTCTCAGCGTCCCCCTCGGGCTCGCCGCTGGGCTGAGGCGGCTGCTGTTGCTGTTGCTGCTGAGGCTGCTGCTGCTGCTGCTGCTGCTGTTGCTGGTACGCGGGTCCAGGCGCTGCCTCGTAAAACTGGTCGAAGCCCTGGGGCAGGATCCCATTGCGCCCCACGGTGCTGTAGAAGTTGGAGGCGGCGCCCGAGGGGCCGTGGGGACCGCAAACGGGTTCGGCAGCCTTGAATAGCATATCCGGCCTCCGGCTCCCGGGCGGCAGCAAGTCCCTGTGCATCACCTCCTCCGCCGAGTAATAGGGAGCGTAACTGCCCCGGTATTGCCATTTACCGCGCTCCAAGCCGTAGTCGCGGAACGCCACTTCGCGCACCGGTTGGACGTGAGGCAGATTGGAGGAGTAGGGGAAAGTCATTTGACAAGACGACGTCTGCGACAGGAACGAAGGCTTGCTGGAGAAATCCGAGGGGGCCACGTAATAAGCGCAGCCCGGCAGATACATATTGGCTGCGCTGGGGCCGCAGTCGTCAAACTCAGTCATGTCTTCCTCTGGGCGATGGTGAGCGACCGGGAGATTTCCGTGCCTTGAACAAGATCCATCTATTGCACAAGAGGCTTTGGACAGGATCAACTAAGAAAAAATCCCCACCGTGTGCTGACGTGCAATTCATCTTGATTGATTCTGGTGGTAATTATGTCACGTGACTCCATGGAGAAATGTCCTTATATCTATATCAGTCTTTCACCAAGACTTCCCGGGATCTCTCCTGGCGCCGAGGCAGGCACACACTTGGGGGGAGCCCAAAGGAGGGGGAGGGGACGGTTTTCTCCGCCCAGCCCTGGGAGGCGAGGAGGCATAGGTAGATCTGGAGGCGAATCACCTGAGCGCCGGCGCCTGTTCAGGGCTCTGGCTTCCACATTGCTAGAGAGACAGCTGGGTGCGTCTGCAGTCAGCCTCCAGCCCCCCTCAGCCTCAGCCTCCCGGGCGCCCTCCTTCCCCGCTCTGCTTTAAATACACGGAGATAACAAGGAGGAGAAAAGTCCGGAGGAAGCGTAAGAACGAGGTGTGAAGGTGTGAGACTCTCAAATCTCTCTTTAAAAAAAAAAACAAAACCCAAACAACGCCCCCTCCTCGCCCAGCGTCCCTCACCCCCAATGACCACCACTTCTTTCACAGTCTCACTCAAAGCTTGTTGCTTCTTGTTCAGTGGGCGTAACTGAGGAGCAACTCACTGAGGCTAGGAAAGCCCTGATTTACATGTTAAGTCTGCTCGGCGAATTCGCTTCAGTCACCCAGTCCTCTGCTAGCCACAGCACAAAGGTTCGAAATAAAGTAAGGGCCAGCCTGCCCTTTCGGTATATCTCACCATGGAACTCAGACAAGTATCTACCCATATGCACCCACACACCTTCACTCTGTCTGTCTCTCTGATTCTCTGTCTCTCTGTCTCTGCCTTTCTCTGTATCTTTCCATCTGTCTCTATCTCTCTGTCTCTGTATCTGTCTCTCACACACGAGCGCGTGAGCACGCACACACACACACACCACCGCCACCACCACCACCACTACCCTATACTCCAGCGTGCTAAAAGCAAGAGGTGGTTGCTCAAACAGATCCACCAAAAGTGCTTCTCTGGCTCTGACGTTTCTGGAACCTGGATGTTCTAGGGCTCTGGAGGAACAAAGGGATGAGGAGTTCAATTTACAAGGTGAAGACACACGTTTTCACCCCTGATTATTCAAGCTCCCCAGGTAAATCCTCACTCATCTTTACCCAATTCCCCCGCTCCCTCTCGGGGGCATATCCAGGGACTTGAATGCATTCACTCAGACTTGCCAACCCGAATATGTCGTGGAGTGGGAGGCTTTTTGGAAGCCAATCCACACACTCTATCATCAAAATCTCCCCCTCTTCCACCCCCCCGTGCCTCGTCACCCAGCCTTGGAAACTATTATTTATTCTGGCAGCCTGGGCCCGAAAGCTCTTGGTGGAGGGTCGATCAGAGAACTGTAGCCCCTACGCTCCTGCCGCAAAGACACAAGCGCTTTCTGATTGCCACCGCAGCGTCTCTAATCCCCCTCGGTTTCTTTTTCAGAAACCTAGAACTGGATCTGCCCGCTCCAGAGGCCACTAACAAGACTTCCTACCTGAGTTTCACCTCCCAGAGGGTAGGGTGCTTTCCAAAGTGAAAGGAGACAGAGAGAGAGAGAGAGAGAGAGAGAGAGAGAGAGAGAGAGAGAGAGAGAGAGAGAGAGAGAGAGAGAGAGAGAGAGAGAGAGACCAATCTCCCCCTCAAAAAAAATCTTGATTTTTAAATCAAAGAGGAACTGGGCGGCAGGAGGGAAACTTCTGATAGCGGATCCCCTCCCCCCATCCGATCTCACCCCGAAACGCTGAGGCCTTAAAGCTTCGGCAAATTCGGCGGGGCGTGGGCAGCAGCTCCTGGGAACTCACGGGGCTGGCCTCAATGCCCATCACCTCTTCTGCCCACTGTGCCGACAGCCAGGGAGGAAAGAGGTAGTCGAAGCTCATATCTAATTTCTGGCCGATATCTCTCTCCTCCCCACCCCTCTTTTCCCTTCCTCCATATTCCCCCCCCTCCCCGCCCCCTGTCCCCTCCTTCCCACGCACTGCGCAAACAGGTCTGTGGAGAGTAAGCCTGGAGGGCATAGTGTCCTCCCTCGAGACAGAGCCGCCCCCTGGGGGTGTCTCTGCGGTATCCCCCTCCCCTCCCCGACAGCTTCTATCCAGGTCTCCTGCCCGCCCCCTCTTCTCTCTTTATAATTCCTCTTTCCCCTATCTTCTGAAGCTCAGACCCCCCAGGAAGGCGGTACTCTCCCCGGTTTGCTAGCCTCATCCCAAACCTTCCCTTCTTTGGACTCTTCTGCTGTGCCCCCGACCTCGTTCCTAAAATGGCTCCCCAGATACTCAGTAGCGGAATAACAGCGAGCTCTGCGTCCAGGGCTATTTCTCCGGGGACTCTAGGAGGTTCCTTTCTCTGACTGTGGGAAATCTAACTTCGGGCCCCCCAGCTTCTCTCTAAGATTCCTCTGGGTGGGGCATAGGGATCCCAAGCTCTCACTAGAGACCCTAGATGCCCCTCTCCACTACTACCCCTCCTCCCTCCCCTCAAAAATACAGAGGTCGCTGACCATCGCGGAAGAAATTCGACCAGAGCAAGCAACTCAAGTTCAACGACATGGCGACTCTGGGGTTAGTGGAAACCCGTTTTTTAGGCGGGGACCGTGCGCCATCTGCAAAGGCTGGCAGAAGGGAAGGGCGAGGTGGCTGGGTCACAGTCGTTCTCCCTAAGGTAGATCACCCCTGGCATCCGTTAGAGAGATGCAATCCGTCTCGAACTTCACCCTCCACAACATTATTTCGCTGGTTTCCTCCCTCAGAGTCTACCCCGCCCCCCGCCCATCTCTCAGCTTTGAGACCACTGCAGCTGCCGCAGTCTCTCTCTCTGCCTCAGGTCCTCACAGCAATCCCCCTGAAAAATCCACAGCCTTCTAACAGACGCGAACCGCGGACCTTACCATGAGGATCCTGGCTCCCTTGGCTCCAGATCCGCGGGAATCGATTGCATCCTAATCCAACTGGCATGTCCGCTAGCCCTCGGGGGCGAATTACGGCTTCCCGCAGTTCTCGCAGAGGGGACGTTCTCTCTTTTACGCCTGGACAAGATGCGGTATTTTTGTGCCACCCAAGATAAGACACTAACTTGACCTTAACTTTGTTATGGCGCCCCTAGTATCTGGAGAACGTGAACAGACACTGTCTGGCAGCTCTCGTAAAAACTGACTGGGGAAGAGATTCTGAGTCATTTCATTTATTGCCACTACAGTTCTGCAAGAAAGCTTTTCCTCGCTGCCAAACTTTAATTATTTATGCTCTTTTAGGAAACGAAAAAAGAAGAAGAAAGAAAAGCACCCAGAGCCATTTAAACCCATTTCTGTGCTTCTGAATTGCTTCTTGAGTTAAACGGAGAGGAAGAGGAAATATCTGGTGCAAAGATAATCTTTATGTCAACTGGTTTTTCTATCCGAATGTAAATATGTTTTATACGCTTCCTCCTCCCTTTTCTCCCCCATCAAGAATTTTAGATAAGCTTTGGGGAGTCCTGGGTGAGGATTTGTGACAGGGTGCTCATCTATTACATCTTCAGAGTCCGAGAAAGACCTGCGGATGTTAATATTTACTTGGTTTCGGCATTAGGGATCCACTAATTTGTACACAGTGTAGAACCCTGTGTCTATTTATGCCAAGCAGCCATAGTTTCGAGTTGGAGGCACTGAAGAGCCCCAGTTTGTTTGTTTCCTGAGTTGTTCTCAATCTATTTAGAGATACCAAGTCCGTTATCCGAGTCCAGAAGCCCCTCGATGGGTTTTTGGGATCATACTTAATAAGGAGAAAAATCTACCTTAAAAACAAACAAACAAAAGACCTCAAGATTTCTGAGGAGAGAGTTTTTCCACTATGTATGGGAAGCGATTAGAGGCCAGATTGGTCTCATTTTTCAAATTTCATTTGGTAATCTTTTGTTTATTATTACTTTTTTTTTATTTGAAATTTCTTCCAGGCTTACGGAGCGTGTACCCAAGATTAAAGAGAGGACAAAGTCTTTGTGGACTCTGGAGAAAGAGAGATTTGAAAACATACACCCACACCCACACACACACACACACAAAGAAAGAAACCCAAACCAGACAAAAGCAGGGCTTTGCAGTTAGAATTGTTTCTGGCATTGTTTGGGGTGGGGTCCGGGACTTGTGGAATTCCTTAAGATGTGCATTTTTCAGTGTTCTCTCAACCCCACAAGAATCTGAAAGGAAGCTGTTTGCTGAATTTTGGAAACTTTTTTTTTCCCTCAAGAAGAGCTCCTTGCTAGCTCTGGGACTGGGATTAGAATAAATCCATGTTTCCATGTCTTTTCACAAGTGCTCTCTATATAAACCAAGTGCAGTGCATTATTGTCTGCCTCTGTCTTTGTTCATTTGGTCTCCTTGCTGGAAACCAAATAATACGGACAAGGGGCAGTTGGACGACTGCCCCTTCTTGGACGCTGTCGCTTGTCCTTTATTTTTGCTCTATGAAAATATTCCTAAACCGGGTTTGCCTCAACATTCTTTCTTCGACATTATGCATGCAGAAAAGAAAACAGTTTTAAAATATATCAAATGGGCTTTAAGAAGGGAGTCGGAGTGGGAGTCTGCAATTTATGCCTTCCATATCAGGAACTCTTGATTTTGCTAATTCATTCACTTGTTAATATATCATTTCAATGTTCTCCCTGAACTCCAGCACTAAGTAACATAGAATTTGGGTGTGATTAGTAAGTACGTTAATCTCCGTCAGGACCTATATATTCAATCTGTCTTCCTATTCAGACTATTTCTGAAAGCTCAGTCCCCATTTCCCCAATGTGATCTCTATGTTCCCCCCCCCATTATTGGGGATGTATATTGTAGCAGAATATGCCAGTCAAGCTTAGCCTTGTGGCTTGCCATTGTTAGAGAACAGCTTTGCAAGAGATAGGGCTCAGAAGTTTCCCATCCACATCAGAACCATATTAAAGGATAGGAAGCCCGTTTCCTGGTCTCCCTGGCACCGTGACCATAAGTGACCCATAAGCATGTATGAAAAGCCTAAGATTATGTAGGGTAGGTGCCTATTTTTATTTACGTATCTAAATATACTGATAATCCTTTCTTCTGCCTAGATATACGCTAAAAATCTGTATGCGATTTCCCTCCTGTTGACTTAATATACAGTTTCAACAATGGCTTGGAAACCATTTTCACATTTAATGAATAGTAAACACCCAAGACGTAGCCAGAGAAGGAAAACAAGTCCATGAGTCTGAAAAATATTAAAAAGGGATCAAAATCCTTTCGGAAAAAAAAAAGACAGCAGCCCGTGAGGGGCTCCAGTTGGCGCCATGTATTTATTTCCACTGGAAACGGTTTTTATTCGTCCGGTTAAATACAAGCTATTGTTTCCGTTACAAAACATGCAAAACCACTATTAGATAGCCAAAACAAATTAAACTATTCTACTTAGGCAGCTGAGGTTATTCACAGATTTCAGAGCGTTATCACCCGGGTCTCAGCGTGTTTGAGGTTAACACTCCCCATTTAGGCAGCTGAGCAACACATTGAAAAGAAATCACTGGACCACTGGAAGGAAGCCCCTACACTCCATCAGATATTTTTCTTCCTCCCAGGTGGAGGAAAAAGAGTCTGAGAAGGAAAAGGAAAAGGAGGGAGCAAAGGGATGGAAGTGATTTTCTCCAGCTCTTGGGCCCAAGCCTTGCTAAGGCATAGAAGGTTTCTGCACAGTTTATCGGAGGTGAACTGGGAAAGGACATTAGGGTAAAGGTAGCACTTAACTGTACATATGGTCAGGGAAACTAACGAAGAAAGCTTTTCTCCTCAAAGAGAGAGAGAGCTATGA